AGCCATCAAATCTAAAACCTATTCGCAATTTTCTGTTGTTCAACAGTTAGGGCTGCACAAAACTAATTAATTCCCTGCATGTGCAAGACACAAATCAAACTGAAGAAGGTGTAAGTGCAAGTTAGCAAGTATTTCTGATATCTGTGCATGCGCGAGTGCGTCCTCAGAGAGGAGTCTGTAGGTGTGTGTATTGCTGTGAAGGGGGGGAGGTGGAGGAGGAGGTGGTGTTGGGGGTGGGGCTGTTAGCCAGATGAGAGGAAGTGGACGAGTCGGACAGCTGCAGCTGCTCCAGCTTCTTCAAGTATTCGTCTCTGAGGGCCAGCAGCTCCTTGTAGCGCTGCTCCACTGGACTCTGCTGCTGGAACACACACACACAGACACACACATGCACGCACACGCACAAACGCACGCACACGCATGCAAAGTCACAGGTTGTACACGGGAAACTCCATATTGCAGCATTTGCTTTGAATATTGATTCTCAGAACAGGAGAGTTACTATAATGAACCACATTTATAAAAGAATCATCCGTCAGGTCTTTCTGTCTGTAAATGTAAACGGTGCCTTCTGATGATGCTGTAAACAGAAGTGGTCCTAGCACCGAACCCTGTGGAACTCCATAATTAACCTCAGTGTGTGAAGGAGACTGCGCTGAGGTCTAACACAGAGATGAGTCCACCGTCAGAGGCCATAAGACGATCATTTGTAACTAAAGCTGTTTCTGTGCTGCGATCTCAGAGTTCTGAGGTTGAGATATCCAGATATCCGTTATCTGGTAAGTGAATCCAGATAACAGATATACGGCATTTGGAGTCCTGTGCAGCCGGCCACACGTTTATCCAGGCAAGCTTGCAGCATATTATAGCAAACACAAGAGCAGTCCTACCTGCTGTCGTATGCGTGGGTTCCAGCGGATGTAGTACGCTACCCAGAGCTCTAGGTGGCGCATGCTGGCAACAGGGTAGAGAACCCTGCCAGATTCTGGGGTGTAGAAGGGGTTTAAATACATATCCACCTTGCTGTTGACCAGAGACCACAGAGACACCGTCTTGGACCTCACCTCCTGCACCACAGAAGAGTTTCAGTGTCAAACACTTGCAGCTGAAGCACACGACATAAGTATGTGGACAGTGACACAGTTTTGTCTGTGTAATTTTAACTTTCTTAGTGATTTTCTTTTGTAATACTGTATTTATTTTGTTGCATTGATTTCCATGCTTTGTAATACACTAACTTCCCAACTTTGAGTATAAATAAAGTATTTCTAATCACATTAACAGCAGGAACTGCAGACATTTTTATACGTAGTTCCTTATTTTCAACTTAACCTTCCAGACAGACAGCAAAACCTCGAGGAGTTGCCAAATCCATGACCTGGACATGGACTACTACTAAATGAACAGCACTGTATATCCTGGAAGACCATGGATGACAGTGAAAGACTGCAGGACCTCTCTATTTCACAACATCTAGCCAGGTCAAGAACACTTCTGAGCTGACACGTGTATCACTGACAGTGTCTACAGTTAAGAGGCACCGTTTCCATGGTGAAGCGGATAATGAGCCAAAGCATTCTTCAAAGGACACCCGAGAGTTTCACAAGGCAAAGAAACTCTGTATTTTACAACAGCCAAGTCAGTCACCTGACCCGAACACAACGAAACATGTGATTCAGCTGCTGAAGACAAAACTGACGGCAGCATCCAGTCAGCCTTAAAGTCTGAGAGGCAGTAAAAACTCTCATTGGGCCAAACTCTGTATTACGAGGACACAATTTTCATATTTTGCATGCATGTACATGTTATATGTGCAGGTGTTCTTACATGCTGGTCTCGTACGCTCTCGCAGTTGTACAGGAAGGTCCCGAAGCGACAGCTGTAGAGGTGATCCAGGATCGTCAGCAGGAGATGCTCGTTAAACTCGAAGGCCGTAGGGAACTAAGAGGTGAGAGTTACAATTCAAAGACTGAGTCAGTAATCTGAGACGTTAGTGAACATACAACAAACATTGATAGTGTTCCTGTCTTTTTGTTGGGATGTTTCCTTCTCTTTTGTCAAATGCATGAAGTCAAACAGCATTTTGAGTATTTTTGAGCCTAACCAGAGAGCAGAGTGGGGGAGCGTGTGCCTGAACCAGCAGGCGGCTGGTTGGTCTGTGCAGCTGGACTGAGAAGAGTTCACAGTGTGCTGAAATAAAGTGAAATCCAGAGCGTAGCAGCCAAACAGCCGAGGAGGTGAACGTGGGGTTTCACAGTGCTGTTTACCACCTTTGTTGGTTTGATCTATACAGAGAGTCCCACTGAGACGTGAGAGGCAGACAAACATTCAACTTACAACAGGAACGAGCTCTCAGTGACGATCGATGATGATTTTAGCTCAACGAAGCCAAAATTCATTTTGAATCTTCTTCTTCTGTAACGAGCTGTTATGTTGTTTGTTGCACTCTTTGTTTATTCTCATTCATATTTGAACTATACAACAATCTGTAATGAAATTCATCCGAAATATTTGTTTTGTCCAAACGTCTTCAAGAAATGCTGCCTCTGCTGCTGATGCAGACGAGCCTCCTGGGGCTCCGGTTTCAAACTAAGCATGAACAGAGTTAACTGACACGCTCTGTTCTCAAGTTATCGGCCCTTCACGAGGTGTCGGGTTCAGGGGTCTGCTCTATATTATTGGAAATATGGTGCCGCTAGCTTCATCGGGTGACAGCTCCAGCTCCAGTATGCAGACTGGGAGTTGGAAATGAGTGGCGTGCCCACGTGAGGAAGGGAATGCATGCCGGCCTAAATGGAGGCATTAAAGTATTTGTGGGTCTTGTTCATTAGTGACAAAAGTAGATGAGTGATAGAAGTAGGGAGTGGTAGCTTAACAAAGTGTCTGCTGGGTCTGCAGTAACGGTGATACTCGATACCAGTCTGCAGTGGTGGAAAGTGAAGAGGTCCGTTTAGTGAATTTACTCTCCCGTTCTTGTCAGTGGCCACAGACGATGGGTAGGGGCTGAGATGAGAAGGAGAATGATGAATGAGGCAGATAAGAGTGCCTGAAATGCCCGTCG